GAATTAATACCTAGTAAACACAAAGTAATAAATGATCACTAAAAAGCTTTCTGAAATAATTAGCTTCTGTTATAGGGTATAATTTGGTGTGAATAAAGGAAGAAAAGAAATTTAGTAAACAGAATGTTGTTCAGAAATTCAAGGAAATATCAAAGTATTATAGAACAAGTATAGAGTCCAGAGAGAGTCCAGAGTGTCAGGAGAGCTTTTTTTATTTTCTTTAACATTGATTCCTCTGCAAGTGATTGGATTTTTTTCGTATCCCAGTTGTTGGACTGAGTTTAGCTAGTGCTGACTATCCACTGGCTATCCACCAGTCCATCCCATGTCATTTGTGTGGGAGCACTAAACAAGGGAATATTAGTACCAGAGATGATGGTAGGACAGCAGGGCAAACAGCATAGCCTGAAGCACCCAGAAAGCACAGCCCAGTTCCAGTAACAAGACCGCTTTTTATAAGTGGTTCACAGTGGCAACGCTGTTTCCTTATAATCAGGTCATGTAAGTTATCTTTTCCCCACAGTAAAAATAGGTACTTGAGCTTTTTCTCCATAGCCCCTTTTTGTTCTATTTTTAAATCACTAATCTTACATCATACCAAGAATAATCTACAATAACTTTTTTAGTCATTGAATATTGAATTCCCCTTATCCTTGATCTTTCATTTAATCCTCAGAAAATATTGCAAAATACAGCTCTGATCCTTGATTACAGTTCAGAGAGATATGTCTGGCAAAATGGGTTTCAATGAATTTAAAGAACTCTGGGCTGTACTGAATGGCTGGAGACAACACTTTATCAGTTTTGACACTGACAGGAGTGGAACAGTAGATCCACAAGAATTGCAGAAGGCCCTGACAACAATGGGTGAGTATGGCTTACTAGAACTCTCCATTCATTGGTAGAAGTAAGTTGTTTTTTATTTTTAAAACTAGGCTGGGCACGGTGGCTCATGCCTGTAATCCCAGCACTTTGGGAGGCTAAGGAGGGTGGATTGCCTGAGCTCAGGAGTTCAAGACCAGCCTGGGCAACACGGTAAAACCCCATCTCTAGTAAAATACAAAAAAATTAGCTGGGCATGGTGGCATGCGCCTGTAATCCCAGCTATTCGGGAGGCTGAGACAGGAGAATCACTTGAACACAGGAGGCAGAGGTTGCAGTGAGCCGAGATCGCACCACTGCACTCCAGCCTGGGCGACAGAGTGAGACTCCCTCTCATAAATAAATAAATAAATAAATAATTGCTACCTGAAGGCAGTTTCTGTTTTCTTAGAAATTGTGTGTGTTCATAATTAATATGAGTTCACAGTCTTAAAAAATAAAATAGTGCTTATTTTTTGTATTTTTAGTAGAGACGAGTGCTTATTTTATTTTTATTTTATTTTATTTTTTAATGGGCTTTTGCCATCCTTTAACCTTTTTACTGGGTGACTTTTCTTTTAGGATTTAGGTTGAGTCCCCAGGCTGTGAATTCAATTGCAAAACGATACAGCACCAATGGAAAGATCACCTTCGATGACTACATCGCCTGCTGCGTCAAACTGAGGGCTCTTACAGGTGAGTTCTATAAGGTCATGTCATCACCACAAGCCAAGACACAGTTATTACATTTCATCTCTCAGTGCTTCTCCTTTTATTCTTCCCCAATTTTTTTCTTGCTTTAGTATTTCAAATTACTGTTAAGCATATCTAGCAGAATAATTTTTTGGTTTTTTTCCAGAATTTATTTTAGATTAGTAAGTAATCTGCCATTAAAATAAACAAATTTTACTAAAATGTTCTAAAACATAATCAGCTAACTTGTGCATTTTTGATCAGATTATGATGAATTTTTCCCTATAATGTGACATATCTGGAAAGCATGAAATTAAAGTAAAATCCTTTTCCATAGGGCAGAGCTGAAATGGTGGAGAAATTGATCACAGCCCATTTATCATATCGGGGACTCTGTTTCTTAAGCAGTATCTTTGTTATTAAGAAGCTAGAAATTCTGTGCTTTTATCACAATTAAGTAATGGCCATGGAAGTTGCACAGCTTTTACTGACTTTGGGTAAGGTATTTTCTCCAGATCCACATTGAAAAAGACAGCCGGCCAACTTCTGCCTGTTATTTTGTTGCATATTAAATATTTTACTATTCATATGGTTGGCTTCTTTGCTTTGGTCTTTTGTTTATGTTAATTGGTTGCACAATTTAAATGTTATTGCAATGTGAATTAAATGCTAAAATAACTAACTTTTATGATGTTAGAAAAACCATTTAAAGAAAAACCATAAATTTTACTGTGTTGTTTTACAGACAGCTTTCGAAGACGGGATACTGCTCAGCAAGGTGTTGTGAATTTCCCATATGATGATGTAAGTCTTAGAAATTAAGAAATACAGTAGATGAAAAAGATGTACACCAGATGGGTATCCCTTTGAAATCAGCTGTTAAGAACATCTTAAGGATGCCAGAGACATAAGGGATTCAAAAGTTAGAAAGAGTTATCATCCAGAATTTATTAATTTCATGTATTAGTCTTAACTATAGTTAGACTATGGTTTGATTTGCTTTCAAAGACCTGGGTTCAAGACCCAGCTTGTTGTATTTATTAGCTGGATCACTTAAGCGGGTTTCTTAATTGCTGTGACACTATATGAATAAAGAAGATACAGTAGTAATGCCTTTTTCACTGAGCTGTTGTAAGATTTCTACTAAAAATGCCCTTGAAAAACACTATGCAGATATAGTATCTGCTTTTGTCTTCTATAAACAAATCATGTCTGTCATTGAGAATAGGTAACAGCTCAATAGCTTTGCATACCTATGTTCTTCATTGAGGGCATAAGGCAGGCACCAACTTAAATCACATTTTTTTTTTTTGAGATGGAGTCTTGCTCTGTTGCCCAGGGTGGAGTGCAGTGGTGCAATCTTGGCTCACTGCAACCTCCGCCTTCTGGGTTCTAGCAAGTTTTTTTGTATTTTTAGTAGAGACGGGGTTTCACTGTGTTAGCCAGGATGGTCTCGATCTCCTGACCTTGTGAGCCATTCGCCTAGGCCTCCCAAAGTGTTGGGATTACAGGCGTGAACCACTGCTCCCAGCCAAATCACAATTTAAAACAAGTTATTTACTAAACAGCCACACTAAACGAGGTTAGGGTAAGGCCATGTAACCAGTGTGAACAAAACCAAGTGCCATCTTTGATGGCATTAGCTGGATGTATATAACAAAGCTAGGGAGATTGGTTACTTGTTTCTTCAGTTTTTGCTCAGTCATTGATTTAAAAAAAACAAAAAACATAAAACAAAAAAAAAAAACGAACTGAAATGACTGTAATCACTGAATATTCCATTCTCCATTACAAAATATAAGATGCATATATTTTTGGTTTAGCAGCTGCTGCAGTTATAAGTACACTTTTAAAAGCTTAGTATGTGTGTGTGAATATGCTTATTTTACCTGCTTACGGGTGTGTTCTCTTTAACATGCGTTAACTTCTTAGTTGACAGTCCGCTTGCTGTTTCTAAAGATCAGGAGGCTGCCTGGGGAATGGAAAGACCATGGGCCTTGACTTCAGATGGGGCTACTTAAAAGATTTCTAAACATCCTGATCCTTATTTTCCTTTTCTCTAAAATAGGGATAATCACCTTGACCTTGCGATAGAGCTGCAAGGGTTAGCAGCTTACAGTACCTTACTAGTATAGGGAACACTGATAGAGCAGAATCTATTGCTTTATGTTTAGTGGGGAAGCCAACATTTCAGAGCAAATACCAGTATTTCTAATCTCAGGTATCTGAAGGCTTAGCTGTTCTGTTTCTGTGCATACATACACTTGCATGCTACAGTTTATTTTAATAAAGCAGATTTTAAGGGAATAAACTGTTTAAGGTGTTCCATTAGAGTAATGGGGTAATACTGTGCAGTTCGGAAATCCCCACGTGATACAACAGTATAAACTCCAGTTATTTGTGTTTGTGGTAAGTGCCTTTGACCACGACCATTTCTAGACTCTTAGATATTATTTAAATTATTTATCCATTGACGTTGTATCTGCTTTCTCTAAGAAGTTTTGATGTGAGAAACCCTATGGATTTTATATTACACTGCTTCCCTAAGAAAAGGAAACTTTTCCATCTATCATTTACTCATATCTTAGAAAGTTGTAGGGGTTGTTTTACCCACGTTCAAATTAGAAAACCCAAAGCAAGCTGCCAGAAATAGGCTGTGCTGTATAAGTGTTTTGAGGTCTGTCATGTAACGCTGATTTTTCTTTCAGTTCATTCAATGTGTCATGAGCGTTTAAATCAAGAGGAAGCTGCATGAATGTAATCGACATTCCAACTGGAATATCCTCCTTTGCTTGTCCTCTTTGCCTTCAGTAATATGTGTAAACTTACATCATGACTTTCAACGCTGTTGTAAAGTTTATTACTTTATGTAAAACTGAAGTTTTGTTTTTAATTTTGATAATAAATTCTTTGGAACTTTAATAAGATCTAGTCTGTTACACCCTTTAGAACTTTCCTGAGCCATTATCAGTCATGCCTTATTTTCTTGCTAAAACTGTGTAAATTTAAGTATGCAAAATGTTTAAGTCACATTATTTATTTTTCATTATGAGACACTAAAAACTGTTAATCAGACTACAACTGTTACCTTTCCTCTCCTAGAAAGAATACTCCACACATAAAAACTTATGTAAATGACATAGACCCACTTGGGTGCAAAAAAACAACAAAAAAGGTAATCCAGTTATCCATGTCAGGATTCACCTTAGTAGAAATTTAGCACAGGCCCTTTAAAACCTATTGAATAATTTGATTGGCAAATACTGTCTGTCACCAAGTCCCTTTTTGTCATCTATTTAAACCTTTGTTAACTATACTTAAAAATCTTGTACATTATAAGCTTAACTATATAAAAAGAAAATTGATTGATAGAAAAAGACTAAGGGAATATATGAAAATATTAACAATGTTTATTTTTGATTAATGGAATTCTAGATGACTTTAATTTTCTTTATATATTTCAGTATTTTTCAGATTTTCTATATGCTTTCCTTTTAAAATCAGATTCTAGTTTTTAAAATACTGATACATCCATTTTGATATACCATGTGTTCACACTTTAAAAAATACACATAGCAGAGTATTGGAAAGTATGTACCAAAACATTGATGTGGCTACCACTGGGAGTCAGGAGCATGAGTTCATCTTCTCCCTTCTTACTGCTTTTCCAAACATTCTCCTGTCAGCAGGTACTACATTTGTAATGGAAGAAATTTTTTAAAAAATTTTAAGCTGTACACTTTCAAGTAAGATCTGAATGCTAATGCTGGCTTGTGCCTCTTTCTATGTGGTTTGGTCATTATAGATAATGCCAAGTTTCAGTTTCCCCATCTTTGAAAAGGAGATATTATGTTATCTCTTGGGAGTAGTTCTGAATATGAAAAGTGTGTTGATACAAGAAGCACTAACAATGTTTGTTTCTTAAATTTAAAAGTGGCCTGGTTTGCCTTTTTTATCAAGAGAGCTTAACAGATTAAAAAATGAAATTAGTCTATTTTCTACTTGCCAGCAGAGTATCTGTCTTATTTTAGGATGCAGGGTGAGACTCACCATTCAACTGAACAATTAGTTGTCAACCATTGAAAATAAAACATTTTCTCTAAGCATCTTTAGCCTCATTTCACTATTAATTTTTAAACTGTTGTTAAAATACATATTATTCAAACCTAACATGTAACTATGACAAGTTAGTTAGCCCAGGTTACGTATCAGAATGTGAAGCAGCCTGCTATATATTACACGGCGACTACAGCAGATTAAGCAGCCTGCTATATATTACACGGTGATTGTATCTCCATATATTGTCTATGAGGCCACAAAGCTCTGCTTGAGCCTGGGCTGTCTAGAAAAGGGCCAAAAAGGGGCTCAGAGGATTAGGAGGCAGGGAGCTTACCTTCAGTGTCCCAGCGCCTGCTGTTTGGTTTCAACTCACCAGGGTCCTCTGAGGAAATCATAGTTTAAGGAAATGGTAATTTCCTGGTTGAGGATAAGCAGTAGGGAAGAAGGCCCTTGCTGAAGGTTATGGGCCATATTTGAACAAGTCCCAAGGTGTGCTGTATCAATTGTGGTTCTGAATTGGCTTTGGGTAACTGCTAAAGTATTACAAAACCATCCCTCTGACATTATATTAGTTTGTTCTCACACTGCTATAAAGACACTACCCAAGACTGGGTAAGTTATGAAGGAAAGAGGTTTGACTCACAGTTCCACATGGCTGGGGAGGCCTCAGGAAACTTGCAGTCATGGTGGGAGGGGAAGCAGACACCTTCTTCACAAGGCAGCAGGAGAGAGAAATGCAAGCAGGCGAAATGCCAGACACTTATAAAGCCATTAGATCTCATGAGAACTCACTAACACAGTGGGGGAAACTGCCCCCATGATCCAATCACTTCCCTCCCTTGATGTGGGGCTTACAGGTCCCTCCCTCGACACATGGGGATTACAGTTCAAGATGAGATTTGGGTGGGGACACAGAGCCAAACCATATCAGACATCATTCAGTTAATTCTGTTTTAATTATTGATACCTCAAAACGAATCTCTTTATCTCCTCCCCTTCTGCTTTCACCCATTCTTTCCAAAAGCATGGAGCATAGTCTTCAGCATGTCCCTGCAGTTAGAAAGTTTCCTTCCCCTTGACAAATTTAATGTATTCATCTCCTTTAATTACAGCCAGTCTTCATTACAAGTGGAATCTGTTGCCTTACTTCTATTTTATGTTGGGTTGTGTTTCATTCATTGTATACTTCTAGTGTAGCCTCACCCACTACTTTAAAATTATTTCCTGGTCTGTTTACTTTTTCTTAAAGAATCCAGTTGGAGCATGGTAAAGCTGTGAGCTCAAGCTCGAATACTTCAACTATTTGCAGAATTAAGCTCCTCAAATCACCCTCATTTAGGATTTAATTTTATTTTGGAGATGTGTGCTTTACTCATGTGTTTCAAGAGATCCATGATTTATAAAGTACTTTTAACACATTTCGTGCACTTACATAGGAATGTGGCTGCCAGAGACCTGGTGCTTCCTGGGGATAGCTGGCATAGATTTGCACCACAGCAGTCATATTAAATTAAAGCTCTTGCTTCTATTGAGCCAAACTGGAGTTTAGACTCTCCTTCAGCATGATGTTCCAGGTGGTACTGTGAAGTCCGTGAGATGGCATGTGAGCTAAAACTTCAGCCATCTGTGAACTAGACTTTGCTTTGGCTCAG